GATGGAGCCCAGTTCTACTCTAACACACATGGATCACAATGAGTTGGAATCGATTCAGCTGCAACTGAAAACTTAGCCACTGAAGGTTAACCCGATGGAGCCCAGTTCTACTCTAACACACATGGGTCACGATGTGTTGGAATCGATTTCAGCTGCAGTTGAAACCACTGTGTCAGCTTATCACATTGCTGTTGTTAAGTGAGGTCTAGGCAGTTCCGACTCATGGTGACCCTGTATAGGGTTCCGAGGAACGGCTGGTGGGATGGAACCACTGACCTTGTGGTTAGCAAACCAGTGCTGATCCATACCAGGATGCCATTATATAATATTTAGTATACAATCTAGTGGACACTTGGGATATACTGAGTAAAAAATAAAACAGTTAGTTGAATCTTTAACTGGATTACATTATTTATACTTTCCGTACAGTAAGCTAATGTTTTCTATGTTTTGTTTTGAGTTATCCACCTTCCAAAATTAAAATTTATACCTTGTATCTCTTTTTTCTCTTTAAATTCCCATTTTAGAATACTTTAGGAGGGAGAAGAATATTCTGCAGTGTGTTTTTACTTTGAATTTCTCCACCGTCTTTCCATAGGAGCTGATCCCCCTAATATTATGCACAGCATGTCTTCACCCTGAGCCGAAAGAGAGAGACCAGCTGCTCCACATCCTGTTCAATTTGATCAAGAGGCCAGATGATGAGCAGAGGTAGGTGTGAGTGCTTCACTGAGAAGAACTAGTGTGTACTTACTAGTTTTATGTGTTGAGCATCACGATTAGCACTGAACTGGATCCCCTCCCAGGCATCTGTCTCATTGACTCTGCAGCATTCCACTGCAGACAAGAGCGCTGCCTCTGTGAAGGTGGCCTGGACTTGACACTGCAAAAAGCAAGCAGAAGCCAACTCACCCTGGGAAATCGATAAAACGTGAAAACCCAAAACGAAAGCAGCCTTGAAAATACGTGCAGCTCCTACTCAGAGTTCTGGTAACATACTGTAATTACTGACAACTTTTGTTGCTTGAATCTTTGAAAAGGGATTCTCCACCTCTTCTAGCAATGTGAATAGTTGCCCAAGACGGCTCGGTAGAAATTATTACTGAAGGATGTTCTCTGAGTGATCTTGTGTTTATGAGGGAATGATTCACATACAAATGATACTAAATTTTACTCTAGTTTATTTTTCTTAAAATACATAAATATGACCTTACTCATCTATGAAATTGCAGGGTAGTTATTTCTGACTTGAACAGTTCTCAATTTCTAATAGAAAAGGGTTTCCGTGTGGCACTATGGGTTAATGTGCTGGACTGCAGTGTCTGTTTGAATCATGAGGTTGGCAGTTCAAGCTCACCAGTTGCTCCTCGGAGACCCTATACAGGGTTGCTATGAGTTGGAATTGACTTGATAATAGTTAACAACAACAATATGTAATGATTGGTTATGATCAGACCCTCATAGTAATAGAGAAGGGAGCAAACAGCATTAAGGTCTCTTACTGGGTGCCAGATGTGCCGTAACACAAAGTAAAGATGGACTAAAAGATAACATCCTCCACCCTCCAAATGCAGCAAGCCATAAGAAGAACATGAAGCAGGGAAGTGAAGCATACCTTATGACCCTTCCCAAGGTAGAGGCAACAGCAGTGAGGTTGGTCCAGGATCAAGCACTGTTTTGTTCTGCTGTGCATAGGGTCGCAATGAGTCGGTACCGACTGGATGGCACCTAACAATAACAACAACACCACCTACAAAGACTCCTGGTGTGGCGCTGTGGGTTAATGCGCCAGACTGCAAAGCTGTTTGAACTATAAAGCTGGCAATTCAAGCTCCCCAGGTGCTCCTCAGAAGCCCTAGACAGGGTCTCTGTGGGTTGGAATCAACTCAATGGCACTTAACAACAACACCTACAAAGACTCCTGGCATGGTGCCATAGGATAAGCACTGGACTGCTAACCCACAAGGTTGGTGGTTCAAACCAACCAGTTGCTCCTTGTAAACTCATTACAGGGTCGCTATGAGTTGGAATCCACTCTGCCACACTCAGTAACAACAGCAACACCTACAAAGGCATCATCATAGAATAAGATGAACCTTTGAAGTCTTCTCATACTAGGTCAAGTAAATGTCAAATCAGTGTGTGACTTGTTATATTTTTGAAGGTTATTTGGTGGGACTTTTATTAGAAAATTGATATTTTATTTTACCTTTGAAAAACAGCATTTCCTGTCTTGTAAGCTTACTATTTAAATACCATCTGTTACATTTACTGTTTTTAAATCTGCAAGAGAAAAGCTTCAAAGTCAGAACCTGTTTCAGAGGAGACTCGGCATATAAAGCTAATAGCTGCCACCTAGTGGCCAAAGTGCCTCTTAACCTTATTTTAGGTCCAGATACGTATGTCAAGAATTAAGTATGTTCACATTTAATTTTTTTATCTTAAGGGAGTATAATTATTTATTAAAATATACCAATTAATTGATTAACTATACCCTAGTCTTGGTATGGCACTGTGGGTTAATGTGCTACACTGCAAAGCCATTTGAACTGCAAGGCTGGCGGTTCAAGCTCACCAGCTGCTCCTCAGAAACCCTATACAGGGTCGCTGTGGGTCAGAAATGACTCAACAACACTTAACAATAACAACAACATGTAATATGAATAACAAATGAACAAAACATGATTTTTAAGTGAGCATAACATATGATCTTTTGTAACCTAATCTCAGAAGTGACATTACGTCACTGGCCATCATTCTGTCCATTAGAAGCAAGGCATTAGGTCTGACCCACACTTAATTGGAGGTGTTTACACAGACCATGAATACAGGAGAATGGGGGTCACTGGAATCATGTCAAAAGCTGTCTGCCCCAGTGGTCTTGGGTATAATACCTACTGTTCTGATAAAAGAAATATCATTCTACTGCTAATATGGTACAACAGTTTTTAATTCTAGAAACTCTGGGGAAATCGTCCCTAATTGTTTGAGTGGCTGGAAGTGAAGTTCAGCAGAAACTGAAGGATTGAATCTATCATAGAAAGTTAATTTAGGAGTTCATGAGATTCAGCAAGTTGCCTCTCTTTAACCCTTAGTCCTAGTTGTGCTTTGTAAAGCAAAGCCAAGTCTTTTATTTACTTATTTGTCTTATCTTTTCAGGCAAATGATATTGACAGGTTGTGTGGCATTTGCACGTCATGTTGGACCCACACGTGTAGAAGCCGAACTTTTACCTCAGTGTTGGGAGCAGGTAAATAACTGGGTTGTTTTCTGTTACTTCATAAATGATTTTTGCAAGGGTTTTTGGGTTATGAAGATCTTCTAGATTTATTTCCCTTGCATTTAATATTAAACTGGACAATTAAGTTTATAAATCACATGCTAATCTTTTAAATGACATTGGAACATATGTGGGATAGAAATGATGCTGCTCGATCCGTAACTCAACACCGTGGTATAATTGTGAGCAAGAGTGCTCTGGGATCCTTTGCTTTAGTCATTTATTCAGCACATTTCATACTAAGGAATACTAGTTCCAGGGCCGATTACTGCTGTAGACACTGGGACAGCAATGGTGAATAGAAGACAAAGACATTGTGGTGAGTAGATAACAGTAAACAAGTATGAGCTTATTGGATACGAGAGACCAAATGAAACAGACACGTATGAAAATTCTGAAGCCCGGAACTTCAGAGGTAAGGTCAGAGAAGTGGATTGAGTGCTTGCTGGGAGGAGAGGCTGAGCAGGGACTGTGAGAGAAGAAAACTGATTCATGAACCACCGATCAGCTGCAGCGCTACCATCTTGTGAGCAGCTTTGGCAACAAAAGGAGGCCTGGCAGAGCAGATTCATACACGGGATGGCAAAGGTGCGATTCCTTCTTTTTCTCCATGCTTCCGTGGTGACCAGAAGGGTGGATAGCTCCCACCCTCATCCCTGCCCAGTACAAACCCTCTTCGGGAGTTTGCATCCATATGGTTGGGAACATACTAGTATGAGACAGGGGGCCAGCTGCTTGCTTTGGTTCCAGGATTTAGGCAGGAGAAACTCTAGAATACAGTACCCACAGAGTCACCAGACCAGCATTTAACCAGTCAGCCTGCCCTAGTCCTGTGGTCCTAACAGACTGAAACCAGCTCCATTTAGGGCCTCCACAAACTACTTTTGGATTGAGTGCCCTAAACATATATAACACCAAGACTGAGAGGAACCCCATCTAAGGCAAGCAACTCTGCTGTCGCATCCCTTTCACACCCACCTTGTAAGCTCCCTGGATTGTAGTAACCCTCAGAGCTTCCTCCTCTCCAGGACCAATAGCTGCACTGTGTTTTTCTTTGGGGGTTTGGGTTTGGTTGTTTCATTGTTTTTGTTTGTTGATTCTTTCTCCTCCTCCTTCTCTTTCTGTTCTCTTGAATTTCATCCTTTATATCTCTGCTTTTGTTATGCCTGCTTTTCTTCTGTTTGTCATTTTCCCTCGTCTCCCCCACTTTAGATCGTTCTTCACTACTCTCTACTACTTTTCATCTTTCTTCTCACTGAGTTTTCTAAAAATTTCTTTCTTTTTCCTCTCATTTTTCTTTTCTGTAGCTCCATTTTCCTGTCCTTGAAAAAAATTTATTCTTAAGTGGTTTTAATAGTCTTCCTCTTATTTTCTGTTTTTTTTCTTCTTTAGTTCCATTTTCCTGCCCCTCTTTTGTCTTAAAGGTATCATATTGCATTTTTCTGGTTGCTACCTGTTTTACATATTGTGTTTGTTACTTTTTCAATGTTGGTTCCTTGTTTATTTTCTTGTGTGTGAATGGGGCAGTTCTTTTTCCCATCTGAAAGGAGACAGCAGCCTTGCCCACACAGCCCCCAGCCACAACCATACCTCCACCCACTGGGCAAGATGTAATACCTGCTCCTCTACCACCCGATCAATGATACACAGTAACCAACACCAAACCTACCCCAAACTGAGGTGCACCAACAACAAACAAGAGCAGTGTACACACTTCCATTCTATAACTATACCCACAGAAGACAGTTGGTGAGAGCCTAAGAACACATCAGCACACAGTCATCAATTAAATACAAATACAACCACCCACAATGCCCCTGAGACAACAGACAATTTTAGCTCATACAAAGAAACAAGAGAGAATGGCTCAAACAAATGAACAAGATGCAGATCTGGAAGATGTTTCTGAGGAAGAAAAGATAATGAACTAATTGAAAAAGAATTCAAAAGAATGATATTTAGGTACCTTATAAGGACTGAAAGAAAGATTGAAGAAAGCAAAGAGAACTCAGAAAAAAACTGTAAAAATTCAGGAAAACACTGTAAGAACAAACAGACAAATTAAATGCAAATTTTGAAACAATACAAACCCTGCAATTAAAAATCCAGGAGGTTAATTCTAAGATTTCAGAAACAGACAATACATTGTAATAGCAAAGGAGTAGATTCAAAGCAATGACAGCCAAAATGAGTAAGTTGGAAATAAATCTCTCAATATGAGTATGCTAATAGAACAATCAGAAAACAGAATGAAAAAATCTGAAGAAAGCCATCTGGGACATCATGAAGAGGAACAAAGAACATAAGGGTGATTGGAATTCCAGAACAGAAAGAGACAATAAAACACACTGAGAAAATTGTTGAAGAGTTGTTGGAAGAAAATTTCCCTAACAATCATGAAAGACCAGAAGATGAGCATACAAGAAGATGAACAAACCCCAAACAGAATAGATCACAAAAGAAAATCACCAAGACCTGTCATAATCAACCTTTCCAAAACCAAAGACAAGGGAAGAACCCTGAGAGCAGCTGGGAGAATGAAAGGATGCCTACAAAGCAGAATCAGTAAACTAAGCTCAGATTTCTTATCAGAAACTACGCAGGAAAAAGGGCAGTGGGATGGCATGTACTCAACTCTGAAAGAAACAAACTGCCAACCAACAATCATATACCCAGCAAAACTGTCCCCCAAATATGACAACAAAATTAGGACATCTACTAATAAAGAAAAATTAAAGGAATTTATAATGACGTGACCAACTTTACAAAAAGTGCTAAAGGGTGTTCTTTGGACTGAGAACCAACAAAAACAGACAGCAACCTGAGAGTACCATGCATGACAACATTACCCAGAACTCAATCCAGATACAGAAGTATTTAAAGTTAAGCAAACCTACAAGACTGTAAATAAAGAACCAGAGGTATCAATTTATAATGAAGTCAACTACAAAGCAAAAAGAAGGAATAGTGTATATACAGAACTTCCAAATGACTAGGAAGTCAAGTAGATTTCAGGATAAAACAGATTGTTTAAAACACAGAAAAAAGTTAGTAAGATACACAGTAACTTCAAAGAAAATTAATATACCAGCACATCAAATAAGAAAAGAGGAAAACCAGAAAGATTTTGTAAACATTAACATGACAGAAATGAAGAAGACCCACAAACAAAACCCAACACAGAAAGTTATGTTTAACAAAGAAACCAGCAACACCACACACACACACACACACACACACACACACACACACACACACAAACATATAGCAAACTGACAACAACAAATTCTTACCTATCAATAAGTATACTGAATGTAAAACAATTAAATGCACTAGTTAAGAGGCAGAGCAGAATGGATAAGAAAACAGGAACCTTCAATATGCTATTTATAAGAGACACATCAAAACACTGGAGGCAGCCTAAATGCCCATCAACAGAAAGAATGCTTAAACTTTGGTACATACACACAATGGAATACTTTGCAAAGTTGAAGAATAACAATGAATCTTCAAAACACGAATGAACCTGAATGACATTATGCTGAGTGGAATTAGTCACAATCACTAAAGGACAAATACTATATGAGACCAATGTTGTAAAAAGTTAATAAAAGAAAACATCAATGTTGGTGACAGGTGGAGGGAAAGTATTGATGGGCTAGAGGGTAGACACACATTAACATGAATGACAGGGCAGGCAAAAAAGAGTGAACAAGTTAATGATCTGATGCCAAATGAAAGAAAGTCAGGGAGATGCAAGTTTGTAAAGAGCACTGAGAGAAGTCCTGGCCTGCTAACTGAAATGTGGGCAGTGGAAACACAGTAGCTGCTATGGCAGAGAAAGATAAAGCAGTCTGCTTATGTACATACTCTAGCTTGGAAACCCTGTGGGGCAGTTGTGCACCACCATATGGGGTCGGTTTGAGTGGGAGTCAACTTGACAGCACATAGTCCTATACAACCCTACAGTCAGAAGGGCTTTCTGAGGAGGTGATAATTTTGCAGAGACCTGAATGTAGTGAGGTGGAGGAAATACAAAAAGCCCTGGGGTGTAGCAATAACAGCAAAGATCAAAGAAGTAGAGGACAATAAATGCTGGCGGGGATTTGGAGAGACTGGGACACTCCTCCTGCATTGCTGGTGGGACTGCAAAATGGTCCAACCTCTCTGGAAAGGAATATGGCGCTTCTTCAGAAGGTTGGAAATAGAAATACCTTATGATCCAGCAATTCCTCTACTTGGTATTTACCCACAAGAAATACGAGCCATAACATGAGTAGATATATGCACATCAGTGTTCATAGCAGCACTATTTACAATAGCAAAAAGATGGAGACAGCCTAAGTGCCCATCAACTGAAGAATGGATAAACAAACTGTGGTACATACACACAATGGAATATTATGCTACCTTGAAGAACAACAAGGAAGCTGTAAGCTATCACATAACATGGATGAACCTTGAGGACATTATGTTGAGGGAAATTAGTCAGTCACAAAAGGAGAAATACTGCATAGGACCACTACTATAAAAGACTAAGAAAAGAACCCATACTAAAGGGGAGAAGGGGATTCTTTGCTGGTTATCAGGATGTAGTGAGTAGGGTGAGGGGAGGGAGGGGAAGGTGGGGCACAGAGTAGGGAATAGACACAGGATAGTTTGAGTGCTAGAGAGGGGGCGATACACAAGAAGGGGGAGTGGAATGGAAGACCAAGGCAGATGGGAAAACAATTAGGCGGGTTTGCATGGGCTAAGGGGGACAGAGATAAATAATGATGTATGCACAACCTTGGAACAACAGGGCTCTGGGATACAGGGATTGAGACATGGTTGGAATGGGCAAAAGGGGGAAATAATGTTAAGGTGCTTGGCTGTCTTTAGAATCTTAGTTTCCCTGGCATGCCATTATAAAATAGACACTTGAGGGGAGAGAAAGAAATAGCCAGAAATATCACCATAGAAAGTTTGTTAAGTCCATCTTCTGCCTATAACTGATTGGAAGACCTAAAATGGGGCTACAGCGTGCCCAGTGAAGGAGGCTTACTGCGGAGCTGCTGCATTAGAGAAGACCATAGGTGGAATCCTGAACTTCATCCAGAATCTTCAGAAGTGGGAAATTTCCACTTGAAAGGACAAGCAGAGTAGCTTGGAGTGGCTAGAAGAACAGAAGATACTTCTTGAAAGAAAGACCAACAGGAAAAATACAAAACAATAACAGCAGTCTGACTGATTACTACAAAAACAAGTAAGTTGCTCACCCAGGAGACATCAAGGCAAGTGGTCGGGTCCCCTCAGAGCAAACCCCCTTCCAAACTAAGACTCAGTGGGAATACATGAGCAGATGTACGCTCTGATTGGTGACCATGTTCATCACTGATAAGGGGAAGTGAGAGAAAAATAGGAATGAAGCTGCAAGCTAAGCCCTACAATGTTCAATAGACTCCAGTGAACCCAGGTGGAGACCTGGTTGACCAGCAGTGTGGCAAGACCTGGGGACTCTCACGTCCAGAGTCAGTGACATAGTCACAGAGCACTAGAGTAGAGAATGAAGCATCCAGCTGATAAGAAGGGAGGGCATATGCACAAGAACACCCACACTTACAGATAGTACCCACTTGACCTGGCTTCAGTGACTGGATGATCAGAGCTTAATTAGAAGAAGAAAGAAGAAGAAAAAAAGAGTAATCTGATACAATTTGATGACCTTGATCTACATCTATGGGTGCAGTTGCTCAAAAGAGGGAATGAATCTTCACAGTGAGGATCATTCCCAACCCCTCAATACACATGGTAGATAGGGATGGGCAACTTGGACATTGGCTACCCAAAATGGGGGCTACAAAGGCAAGAAGTGACTGACTTACAAGCTTTAAAGAGGGAACCTAGATCCAGAGGGCGCAGAGGAAGGTAGAATCTCCACTGAGTAGTATCCAGTCTGACTGGGCAGGGCTGATGAAAGGAGATGGGGATAGCACTCATGTGGTACAATAGTGAATAATTGTTATCAACACTGACTGTGAGGGTTGGAAATGTAAAGGTAGACATTTTGTAACAAAAGGAAGGGAGTGATTGACTTTGCAGTCCAGGAGCAGAAGTCCCTGGAACCATCAAGGGAGAAGAGCGAAGAGTGGGACCCTGTCCAGAAAAACAGTGACACCAGTAATGGAGGCATATGCCAACAAAGGAAAGGACTGAAGTCAGCTTACTTTAAAAAACAAAACAAAAAAAAGTCTTGTAACTAGTAGTCAAGGACCCTCATTAAGTCACTGATTAATTTACTGCTCCATCCCTTAGGAAAAAGGGGCTCTGTGAGTCATTTCCTGGGATATACTACCAAGCAGATCCTTAATATCCACAAACTGGGTTTTCCCAACTGAAAAATACACTGATCCTGCTAGTGAAGGATCCTTATAAGGAAAGCCTCAACTGAATACTTTTAGATATCCTACCAGATTTTCATCTTTGTTTTTCCCTTTTTTCTTTAGTGGGTAACCCATGCGACCTCATTTTTAGACTTTTCTTGATTCCCTGATTCCTGATCCAGGTGTAGCCACACAGGGATTCCCAGAAGTGGAGAGAAAGAAACAGTATTAATGTATTTCTAACAGGATTCATGGTGAAAATAAAATCTGTTGGAGGGAGGAAGCCCATGGTATTTATACTTGATTTCTTTATTTTTTGTTTTTCCTCCAGATTAATCACAAGTACCCAGAAAGACGACTGCTGGTGGCTGAATCCTGTGGAGCGTTAGCCCCGTACCTTCCTGTAAGAATTGTCTTCTTTCCGTTAAAAAAAAATAGTAGAGAAACTTTATTTTTAAGTGTCTTGTGCATTTTAATGCTAATTCTCCCAGACCACGCTATTCTAATAAAGGGAAAAGATGAGCCCAAAAGGAAGGGCCCCCATTAGAGAAGACAGGGCCCCGGGGGCTTTGTGCCAGTGCACACACATCATGGTGGGCGTCATCGTTGGTTTTGCTCAGCCAATGATACTGTACCAGCAGTTTCCAAATGTGTGTCTGCAGACCCTGGGAGGGTGTCTGAAATCCTTTTAAGAGGATCCATGAAGCAAACAGTATTTTCATAATAATATTAAGACATTTTTGTCTTTTTCACTGAGCTGACATTTGCAATGTGTTGGGACAAAAGCAGTGACGTTCAAGGTTGCTGTTGCATTAGCCCAAACCTAAGGAATGGCACCCAACTCTACTAAAACCTAGAGAATGGCACCCAGCTCTACTAAAAGTGATGCTACTCCTCAGTGACAGGCTCTTGAGAAAAAGAAAAAGCCAATTTCGTTTGAAAATGAGCTTGATGTGCCAGTAAGTAAGATTATTCATCTTACTATATCTTTACTCTTAAGTACTTATCTTTTTTAATATTCTGTGTAACAAAGTGGAAAGTTCTCCTATAAAGCCCTTTTGTTTCACACCTGACGCATGATGGTGGTTTCCAGGAAAAGCAAATTTGCAGTTGTTTAAATTTTGAGCTGAACCAGTCACCTTTTTTTTTTTCTTCATGAAATACTGAGTTTACTTGGAAGAACAACTAAAAACAGACTGTGGTAATTAAGGCTTGGGTATTTGGCAGATATTTTCATGCAATTGAATGAAGAGAACTTGTTAACTTCAAGGAAAACAAGTGGAGAGTATTTGTTGCCAATGATAAAATTGGAACTTGTGAGAACCAGAATTTTAGAAAGCTTGTTTCTATCACCATGAACTTGACAGTTTTCAAGTTTGGAAAGACTTTAATGAAATTCATCAATATTGAGGAAGATAAGCATAATTCTAGTCCAGTATTTCCCAAATGACCTGTTCACGATGTTCAAAGTCATGGATGGGTAAAATAAGGCATTCGAAGTGCAAGATGTTGTTGTGAAGAGCCATCAAGTCCGTTCTGACTTATAGCGACCCTGTATAGGATTTCTGAGGAGTGGCTGGTGAGTTTGAGCTGTCGAGTGCTTACCCTACAGTGCCACACCAGGACTCTGTAAGATACAACAGTGGAATTTAATGTATCACAGTTTGAGAAGCTCATTATCAATAAACTGAATAGTGGTTTCAAATTCTACATTGCACCGAACCTTTAAGAAACTACTGCTTACTAGTTTCAATGTATAATCCAAGTAAAATGGCCAATCTGATCATCAGATTGGAAAAGACTCTTAAAATATTTATCCCTTTTCCACCTATTTGATATCTGTGAAACCAGATGTTCATTAAGTACTTCAACAAAAACAGTATATCGCAACAAATTAATTCAGAGCAGGTAAGAGAATCTACGTTTTTATTCTGTCAGATATTACAAAGATTTGCTGAGAAATAGTAAATATCATTCTCACGGACATTTTTTGGAAAAAGTTATTTTTCATAAAAATGTTATTTGTGTTAACATTTTTAATATAGCAAATACCTACCCCCACAAAAGTTGTTTGAGGTGTTGAATAATTTTTTAAAGGACTAGAGGATCCTGACACCAAAAGTTGGGAAGGCCCAGACGGTTCTATCTTCTAATAGATCCAGGGCTCAGAAGGAGTGGAGGGGATAGGGTAGGGTTACAATGAGTGTAACTTAAAGAGCCATTAAAAGGATAAATAAGGGGCTTTATAAAGCACAGGAGTCCTGGTTGTGCTACAGAATAAGCACTGGACTCCTAACCACAAGTTCAGCAGTTCAAACCTACTATCCTATCCTTGGGAGAAAGATGAGGCTTTCTGTTCCTAGAAACCCTACACAGGAGTCACTGTGAGTCAGAACCGACTCGATGGCAGTGGTTTGGTTTGGCTTTAATATAAAGCGGAGCTTGGCAAACTGTAGCCTGCAGGCCACATACAACCCGCCATCTGTTTTTGTAAATAAAGGTTTTTTTTGGAGCACAGTCATACCCATTTGTTTATATATATTTTTTATGGTTGCTTTTTCATTCCAACGGCGATGTATCTATAGTAGAGAACTATGGCTCTAAAAGCTGGGAGTATGCACTAGCCCTTCATTCGCCCTTTATAGACAAAGATTGTTGATCCCCGCCATCAAAAAGTCATTTTATAAAGATTGTTCTTAATTGAGAATGTACTAAAGAGAATTGCATTTACCATTAACTTAATATTTTTTTATTTTAATTTCAAAAGATAGGATGTTTTTAATTTAAGAAAATAATAGAGAAAAAGCAACAAACAGTACATAGTTCCACCTCCTAGTAACAATTATTATTTTTTAATATTGTGAAAAATAAATGTTCATACAGAAAAGAATAACATGAAAATCAAAGACTTCCTTTTTCGTCCCTTCCCTGCGCATAGTCCTGTCACTCCCTAAGATAGACACAGCTCATAGTTTTTAATTAGCATTCCCAGAAAATACAATTTTTGTTAGAGATCAGCTTATGTTTCCATATTCTTTTTAAGAAATTAACCAAAACTAGATGATTCACACTGTTCAACATCCCAGCAGTACTGGCTGGAAGTAAGCCCTGGTAAAGCGTGCTAGCAGCACGTGAACCAGTTGACTCATCTCAGAGGGGAAGTGATTCTTTACAGTGCTCCCAGCGTACTTGGGTGGGTAGCTGTGCATTCTGAAAAACTTCTCACACTATTAATATCTCTGCTGCTTTCTTCTCTCTACATTTATATACTTTTTTAATTTTGGCAGAGATAAATTGACTCCAAACAAGATAGCCTAGATTTATTATGCTTTTATCAAAAGTGTACTGGAGTGCTTACTTTTCTCTATTGTCACCAGAATCAAGGCATGCTGAAACTAACTTATAGGAAAAAACTGATACCTTATTATTGTGATCAAATTTCTGTATGTCTGTTAGTCTGAGCATCCTATAATTGATTGTGTCAAGACAGTAGTGAACATCACAAAGGTTAAGCAAACGATTCCCCATTGCTCCTAGCATACTAAACAGTGTTAATGATAGACTTACTACTTCCTCATCAAATTTCCACTTGCCATATACCCCAGTGTATCTGGGAGCAGGAAAATCTCTGAACTTGAGCAATCCCTCAGTGTGGCACGGTGTAAATGGAGCCTTGCCACCGGACTGTTCTTATGGGGTCCCTGTGGCTACTAAGACCAGTTACCAAAGTTGACTTCCGTCCAGATCTATGTGAAGCAAATACCAGGGCTTTGAACCAACAAAGCAAAATCCGAACAGACCCCAACTTTTACAATTTGGATGAAATGGAACAATAAACAGAATAGGAAAGATTACATGTCAGAGTCGTGGGAGGCTGGGCTTGGAAGAGGAGGAAAGCGCGTCCTTTCATGAGCTGATGGAGTGAGTTCCCGTCAGGACTGTGGATGTGACACAGACCCAGTGTGGCCAGCTTAGCTGACATCTATCAGTCAGAAACCGCTGTTTCTGACTCTGACGGTCCAGAGGTGGTTTTTTTTTTTAACGTTTTGTTGTGAATTATATGATAGTTTACATGGGAGAACCTTAGTTTTACATTCATTCCATCGTATATCTTCTCATTGCCATGGTTCCAATCCTCTCCGTGCATCATCAACCAACCAAAGGGTATATCCTAGAAACCCACCCCCTACTCTTCCCCTCCCGCCCCCCATTTTTCAGCCCACAGTCCCTTTCCCTCTCTGGGTCCAAAGTCCCCAGC